GTCTTAACCACTCGACTACTGAGCTTGCCGGCGTCGGCTGGCGGGTCCGAGTCAGGTGAAGCAGCGGGTACCGCGAACTATTTTTAGATTTAAAAAAATTACATCTTGACAAAAGCATCCAACTACATGTACATACAATACATTGCTGTACGATCCTACATTCGATCACGTGACATCGATGCTGATTGGTTCCTTTCCTGACAGCAGCCATTTTCAACTTTACTCACCCTAGTATAATGAGAACTACCACTTGTAGTCTCATTGAAATCCAATTCAATCATCATGCATCCTAAAACAACGGATCAACCACTTGTTCCAGTAGTCAACATGACAAATCACATCATACTGTACATGTACATGTTCCTTTTTTCCCCACACAGGTTCAGCATATTATCACCCTTAAGCTGGTTCTCCGGGCAATTCAAAACCAAACCAGTATGCTTCAAGCTCCAGTGAGTAGACAGAAATTCTCATTATTCATGTGCAAACTTTCAAACTCCTTTTATTTAGATTTCAAGTTTTCAAATGCGAAAACATAACACCCACAGTTACGGACATTTGTTGTCACCCCAAAAATTGGTTAGTTTTTTATTTGATCTGATTACCTGATTACTGAACAACCCTAAAATACACTTATTTCAATCCACATGCAGCTTTTCATTAAAGTCCACATTCAAATTGCATTTGAATGACTTAAAGTATTTTTTTCTTGTATTCCATTTTTCTTCATGAAGACAAATAATCACCATAATGAGGAGACAACAGTGATGGGTTCCCTGAAACCAGAAAACTTGTCACCAAGAGCTTCTCAATAAGCACCAGGAGACTTCATGTAATTGACAGCAGTTTCCTTAAAATTTAAAATTTCCTGTAAACCAACCAAGCTTCTCAGAAGTCCATTATATTGTAAAGATCAGAAATCTAAACATTAGTGCCATATTGAGTTGTATTGTTTAGAAGGGTCTATACAGTGCTAATTTTGAAATACACCCCTGAAAATATAACTTTGTCTTTTGATTACCTTGTGTTCAACTTTTGTTTGCTCTTGTTTTCAAAAAAGGGTTTTGATTTTTGTTTGCTTGTATGCTATTGAGTATTTGCATATTTATTTTCCAAACTGTGATGTCATTCGGGGTACACAAGTGTAATGTTACATGACTTGCGCACAATTACTTGATTGATTGATTAATTTTATTTTATTTATTTATTTTGTTTATTTCATTTATTTATTTTTTCTTTACCCTGGGGAGACCTATCAGTGTCAAAGTACTGTTTTCCACAGGTGCCCAGCAATAACAATCATTAAGAACTCATTAATATTAGTTATAAATTAGTCGCCAAAGTCCAATAATACACAACACTAAAAACAAAATACAAAAATATGAGGCACATACATGTACAGTATATAATCAAAAACAACAAAGAAGATAATGAGAAGTTAGCACAGGAAAGTAACAAAACACCACGACTGAATTGCTGGAACTTTGCTTGCTTGAATTTCCCTTTCATTTGTTTAAGTAGAAACTTTTACTTTAATAGCGAAAATCCATCGGACAAAACATTTTTCAGAAATGAGCCAAATTTTGGATCATAGTTTGAACAAAAGACCAATGATGAATAGTGTCTTCCTGACGCACCTCACGACAATAGTACCATCCGTTGTTCAGGGCAATGTGAACCATTTTGAAATATTTCAGCTCAAAACCACCCGTCTCAGAAATGATCGATTTCACATGGTACACATGTACATGTACCCGCAAACCATCTCTCTGTCATTTGAAAATGCAAAGAAGGGTGCAGTTTTCAATGTGCTCGGCCACCAAGGGATCTATGTGCAAGTACATTGCCCCAAATCATTTTTCTTTTCAAATTTCTGGGGGTTTATTTTTTTGGGGGGGAGCAAAAATCAACTAAGCTAAGCAATTTTTATTTCTTGGTGTAATTTTTTTCACCAACTCTACTGAAACCAACCAATGATAACGATGATCTTCCTGGTGCAAAATTCAAATATACAGCAATTTGCGTTTTCACAAAGAGGCGAATTTGTCTTACATGCTATAGCGTTAGCAATAAAGGGTAAAACCACGGGTAAACTCGTTTTGCTGTAATTCACGAAGAGGCATATTTGACTCCAGAAATGTATTCAATGAAAAATTTGGCACCTGGCACGTGCTGTAGCAAGCATGCGTTTTCACTAAAAGACAAAAGTTATACTAATGTTAGCGTTTTCACAAACTTAAACGAACGTGTTTGTTTAAAAATAAACAATTTTAATTGACTTCTTAAAACATTAATTTGTAGTTTGTGTCATTGAAGACCTCCTTTTATGCTGCAGTGTGGGGTATGTCAAAGAAATGCTAAGCACTGGGTGGAAATAAACGTTTAAAAAAGAGACCAGATGCCATTTTCTCAAAACCTAGGTTTTACTCCTCGGCCAGAAATTTACCTTTTCGTGAAAATGCCGGAGCCGTGTTTAGTTCTCATACTCAGAAGAGCATGAAGTTGCATAGAAAGTAATTTACGTCCATGAAAAATTCATCGCTTGGACTTTTTAATGTCAAACATAAAAACGTTTTCTAGTCATGATAATACTGTAATCACACTGACCACTATATTTCAGCAAAATTTGAGCATGTCGTCGAAATTGTCTGGTTCAGTGTTATCGTTTGTATCTGACATTCAATGTAGAATTTTAAAGGAAATTTTAAAAGTATCTTAAAGAATAAATCGATGTGTCTGCATTAACTTATCAACACTAATTTTATTTGCTCCATCTTTTCCTGCAGCTCAGAGCTTGATTAACGTGTAGTACATGTACATTGCATGGATTTTTGTAAATTTGCTTTTTTTCCAGACATTTCTCTGTCTTGCCCATAATGCGAGACGAATCATTAAAGTTTTCAGATGTCATTTAACCTTATCGGCCTTCTCGGTATTTTTCCCAATATCTCCGCTGTAAATTTCTGTAATTTTCAGGAACTGAGCCTTTGGGAGTGTTTATAGATTTTTCTCCTTGTGGTCATTTTGAACACAAATTTTGTGAACATTGAACCTCTTGCACAGCACCATTTTTTCCCCGCCAAAGTCAGCCAAAATGTATAGTTTCCACAGTGGTGCTCAATGCATGCGGGTTGGCACGCGTGTTCTCTTCCCATTTAAGTCCAATGACCGTAGAAAAACTACATGTATCTTTTTGATTGACTTCAAATTTGATTGACGCTGATTCATTAATTGTCAGTTGTAATGATAAAGGGTGTGTCTATACATGTATGCCAAGTTTGGAGAAAATTGAGTGCGTTGCAGCCGAGTTTTTTAAAGTGGGAGAGCAATCCTCCCCCATCCGGCTGTTTAGAGGGTCCCCAATAACCAGCTCTGTCAGAGTAGAGTGCAAGAGAGACTTACATGTAATTCTCTAACAGAAAAGCCTATGATTTTTGTAGGATTGTATTTTCTAAAGTATTGTTTATGTCTCTCAATATCTTTGCCATTCTTTATGTAGGCCCTATATACTACGCACAAGTTATTTATTCTTTTGGCCGGAAAGAGTAATATACGTGAATGTAGCGCAATAAACTGTAAACAGGAAAAATTATCATTCGTGCGTTTTTGCCATTTTGTTGTGCAAGGGAAACTTTGGAAATTTAGCTCAATCTCCCCATATTCCGTTAATATAATGTAGAACATTTATATTCTCAACCTCTCTTTAGCAATCCAAGACAAACATTTGTTGGAATATAATTACATGTAATTGGCATTTTCCAGAGTTGTTAATGGCGCAATACGGAAAGGCTAGTTTTATTCCTGGATGAGAGATGATCGATTTGAATCCCGGGAAGACACCTTTATTAAGTTCCATTTTTTAAATTCAAATCATATATTAAAAATAGAATTCTATCTGAGATGTTTGTGGCCCAGTGCGAAAGCGCAGTGTAGAATGCTGGATAATCCAGGAGAGTCCTCTTTGTCACATCCAATTGAGAAATTCAATTTTAAGGGTTAAGTATAAAAAGAGATCTGTCTGTTTAGAGAAGTGTTTGTGGCTCAGTGCGGACGTGACGTGCTCGAAAAAGTGGGGTGCTGGGTTCGAATCCTGGAGAGACTTTTTTAAATTTCAATTTGCAGTTGTAAATGTAAATCTAAAGCTTAAGTTTTTAAAAAAGGTAGTGTCCTTCAGAGAGGTTTGTGGCTCAGTGAAAAAGTGTTGTGCTCCAAAGTAAGCGATGCCGAGTTCGAATCCTGGAAGAGACACCTTTTTAAATTCCAATGTACTGAAAAAAACCAAAGTTTAAGTAAGAGAAAAGCCTTAAACACATTGGGGACCCAAATAGCGGAGTAGTCAAGAGCACCGCCCGGGAAGCAGAGGACCCAGGATCGAATCCCAGCAAGGGCGGAGTGGTGGATAGAAATCCCCTACCACTCCGCCCTCTTTTTATGCCCTTCCCGATTTGGGGCCGATATTTCAGATGTTTTCACCAAATTTTGTGCTCTTTCCCTCCCCATTTTTATTGATATATGGACAGACATCACTAATGTATTTACGTAGAGGAATCTGTATGGAGTTTAAAGTTCATGAAAAATGTATTGACCACTCTTACAAAAAGGATTTGAGTAATGGGTATGTTGAATGTTATTCAACAAGGACACACAATTTCTATCAGTAAGGGTAACATATAGCTCTTTAATTTTCATAAAATGCTTCGGACCATTTAACACTTTTGGCATGTTTAAGAAAAACATACTGCACAAACATACTTGTGGCAAAGTTAAATCGTTTTGTTTTTCCCACAAATAGGTAGCTGAGAAGACAGCTCTTCTCAAATTGTACTTTTAAAACTTACAACTAGTCTACGAATTGGAATATTCATGTTTGGTACATGTATGTTCAGTTGAATGTTCTTAGAATATCAATAAGTACATTGAATTTCTCTAACAGGAGTAAGGGACTGTGTTGAACTCTGAGCTATCTGTTTGGGGGAACTGGTGCAAAAGTGATTACAGTAATGCAATTTTTACCCTTACCTATAGAAATGGTGTGTCCTTGTTTATACCTGTAAAAAGATTTTCTTAAAGGTATTGTGCTCAATAACTATTAAGTTCTGTGAACTATATCTGACTAAGAAGAGCTACAACTTAAAATACATGTATGAATAACAATTCTGAAGGACTCCATATCCTTTGACTACAAAGTGTCAAAATGTTACAGAACACTCCCAAACCTTAAAGAAAGACCCATTACAATTTCATCTTAAAACTCTACTGTGCTCAGTGGTAAAATTCGATTTGGGTTTTCAAAAACAGTAAACCCTAATTCGGTTCCGAAAAGACTGAATCACCGTTTTTTCCTTGTATTCGCTGTCTCGTGCACACACATTACATGTACAGGGCAGTGTATTGGGTTGGTCTTTAATGCCGATGCCTGCTTGTCACACTGGCAGTCATAACATGAAAAAGGTCTTTCAAATCTTGAAAGATTCAAAATGAAATTTATCACAAAGAAAACATGCCATCCATACTGCTCAAAACTTTATGCAGTAGCAGTCGTGTCGAGCACTTGGAATGTGTGTGCACAATGAATGCCTCAAAAATGGGGACACCATTATTAGGGTAACACGTTTTCTGTGACATCCTGGAGATTTTATTTTGCTTGCAGCAATGCCATAATTTGTTCTCTGTGGCAATTTCATCTCATGAAGCTGATTACTGTGTTATTGAAAACTTGAGAAAATTGTCATTTTAATGTGCACTTGTCATACCAGCCAAGATGGATGTACAGGAAGAGAGACTGAAAGATGACAATTCACTGAAAATATGAATTTCCAAAATACTCTGCAT